CTTTGATTTAGCTACAATAATTATAACTTACTGATCGCCTATCAATTCACTGATGATCTGTATTTCAAATGATCTTTATTCTTGCTGTGTTGTTGTCGATCATTATATTAATTTAAATTATTGATTACTGGTATGTGTCTGATTAAAATTTTTGTTGTTAAGCAATTGTCATAATGTATTTATCAATGTCCGGTTACAGAGGAAAAAATGAGTAAATTAGCATAGATTTGTTTTGTAATTTTACACCAAGATTCTTATGCTGACTAATTTAGCTATTGAACCACGATTAAACAATTTCGTTTATTCTGTAGTTTCGAGAAATGAAATATAACATGATAATTTCATGTAGACAAATAATAATAATCGAACACGAGTGTCATGTGTGTAAAGCATTAAATTATTCAGTTATTTTATAATATCCAAATTTAAATAATTCAATTTAGTTTATAATAGAAGGAATTTAACGGAGTTCTGTGTTAGACAAAATAGTCATCTCGTAATAACGTTATATTATACTGACAAACAAGGCTCTTTATTTTCTCTCTTGCTACTCATAGTTTTTCGGCCAAAGGTCATCTTGGTGCCAATTATGATCTAGTATAGGCACATTTATAGTTAGCTAGTTAGCTGTAGCAATGGTAATAGTGTAAATAGGTACACCAATATCTTTTATAGGTAAAGTTAGCAATTTCCATTTCTCTAAAATTGATTAATAGTAAATGGATTGCACGAATTAGTGGGGTGATAATTTTCATTGTGTAGTATAATTCCGTAACATTTTCGATTTAATTACCTTAATTTATAATTCAATGGTATGTCACGATAATTATAACCGATTATAGTTTCTAGAATAATTTTCTTCTATATTGATGATAGATATTGTTGAAATATTTTAAAAAATACCAAGTACAAGTTTTCGATTTATAATCTGATTTTATAGCTCTTCCGAAGTCAGTTATATCAATTGAAATTTAATATTATTGTGTTTATTTTGATACAATAATTGAAATCATTTTATTTTGCTGTAGAATTGAATTGAAGTATTATTCAAATGTCGAAAGTTAAAATTTAGTTTTCGATAGATTTTTTACATTCGAATTTTAAAATTAGTCTCTTCTCGATGTCATAACATCTATTATGTATGACTCTTGAAGCAATTTGTGTATCCTGCCGATTTAAAAACATCACTCAATTTTGTCAATTATACTAAGTAATTCTATCTATGTTGAGACCTAGACCAACTTATTAGCATGAAAAGTGATGATGACTAGACAGCGTACAGGTTCTGAAGTGTGTTTTGCTCTGTTAGGTATTTCTGTTATTTTAATATAAAAATACGTTATAGAAATAAAGTTCAATTTGTTGAAATAAGTTCTTGAATAATATTGGGGTAATAATATAACAGTTAAAATTTTAAAAGAAAATAGTTGTTTTTAAAATGTTGATTTATAGAGACTATAATATAAATAAAGACCTAATTTAATTTCTTATCAAATTTACTGTGATCTTATAAACGTAAAATTGTTTTAGCTCTATCCTTATGAGACCTGATGAACCATAGAATAATTTTGCTAATGCAAGTTTAATGAAGATTCACTACGAGTAACGGATTAGGATACATTTCGATAGGATAGTACCTAGAGATTATTTTATTTACAAGATTGGTTGAGCTAAGTCTATCTATTAAGGCAGATTCATCTACATGATGCCTTCTGTCATTCAGCAATTTATAAGGAGTATTCAATCAACTCATGAATGATTGACTGAGTTAAGGTGTAATACTGTAAATCTTTGTTCTTGCAGGTTATACATTGGTAGAGCGAGCTGATTGTTTCGCCTATAGAATAATTTTTTCAGTAGTCAATATGGCAAAACACTGCAGCAGTTGCACCTTAACTGGCACAGATATCTCAAATGGCAGCAGGGTGGTGGTTGCAAACATGTTGTAATCGCATATTAAATGGTATGTACTAGAATTCTGGAAAGAAAAATTTGCTGGATACAATTGTATTTTTAGGTCGCGATTTTATTTTTTAAATTTTTGCTGAATTGAGGAAACCATAATTAAATAATTACATCAATATGCTTTGTATTTCATGTTAGCGAATGATGTCACTGGCAGTAGTTGTAACGGTATTATTGCATGACATGGGCCCTTTTACGGAAAAAATCTGCAATTAAACAATTTCTATTGCCGGGACAGGGATTTTTTTTGAAACCACACAATCCAAATACTCATTAGTAACATTTAGTAATATATTTTACTTGCAGAGTTTGAAATACTATCTAATAAAAACTTAAATATGAGCCGCGTTTTGTTTCATTTCATACAGCCTGTAGAACAAATTCCTATCTAATTGCCAGTTATTACGCTCATTCTGAAAATTTTCGTCCATTATAGTAACTAGTAGGGTTTTTCAGAATTTTTTTACGGTTTTGTTGATTACTGTTTATATGAATTCATAGCAGCTCCGAACATTTCTAATGGAAAATGATTCGTAAACTTATGCACATTTTTTACTGTCAATTCCAAAATTTATAGTCATTTTTATGAATATTTCATATAGTTTCTGGCTACAATCACATTTATATGGTATTAATTATCGATAGTTATTCACAAGTCTCAGTAACCTGTACTGTAAAATGACCTTAAATCTGCATATTAGCTGTCTATTTAGATCTTTATACGGTAATTGCATCTGCAAATGTTTTCCGTATTTTTCTACAATTATACCGATTTTCATTGATATTCATAAAGAATCCGCAATATCGCATCATATTTCTGAATAACTATGACTCCTAATGCGGATATTTGCTGCTGCTTTTCCGGCATTTACCGCATACCTGCTTTTGTGAAGGTTTTCGAGCTTCTTCTATAGTTTTTTTTGATACAAACGAATATCACAGGTATTTCCTCGCAACTATTATTGCTAAATGATTTAAGGTTATACTTTTACTGATAATTCTAATGAGCGGAATTACTGAAATATGACCGTTTTTATTGACTATCTTACTAAGCCAAATTATGATTCTAATGTCGTATGGATTTATGAAATGATTAGTAACTTCCATAAGTAACTGATTGCACCAGTTCATAGTTTGTATAATTAACAGCTACATTACGGATTCGTAAATTTTGAGAAAAAAGTATTTTATAACGTTTTTGAGGTAAAATGTATTTAAAATGCAATATCTTGGAACAGTTTGCTTTTGTTCGAATAAGGAAATTGTTACTAATTCTCCTATATACAAGTATTCATTCATGATATTTATTTTTTTAGTTTCAGAAGATTTGGATTTTTAATTCGAGTACTTTTTTCTGATCATTTCATGTGTATGTATCAGAATAATCTACCCAATTAATGACGCATTGGAATATAAATGTGGACTGAAATTGATGGAGCACGTTTACGTATTACAATATTACTAATAAAGCTTTTAGTATAGGTACTTTAAATGACTGTAAACAGTGTTAACTACCTGGGTAACGAAAATGTATGTAAACTCTGTAGCTTAAACTACAATTTATCAATACTGTAGGTTTTCTGTTATTGTATGGACTTGTTCATTCAGCATTCACTTTTTCCAAAGTTTTTGGAGTTAATTTAAAACACTATACTATTTCTAAGCTAAGGAACGATGCAATGTCGTAGTATGAGGGAATTAATAGCAAGAAGTAAACTGTCCTATGATACTTGATAGCAATTTTGGGCTCTGATTTAGCTTGTAACGGAATTTATTTAAGAATTTAGAGAATACAGTTTTTATTGAAATGAACTGGAGTGAGATTTAATTCATATTACGACGCTTCAAATAACACAGCAGTGATGACAGGAATTATTTCAAGTTTAGTTTTTATATTTAAATTACAGCAATACGGATGCGTCATTGTCTAATTGCACATACAGTATGTATGCTTTTGCATTGAAAAGAAATGGCTTCAGTATATACTCCAAATTTTATTACCCGTAAAAATACATGCTTCATTAGTACTTGGCAAGTAATTGCTATATGTACTTTACTGGTAACGAAATAAGAATACTTCGTGGATGATTTCGATTCGCCCGTTAATGGTAATTGTGATTACATAATTGTACGAAATCATAATATTATACACTGTATCAATTACCCTAAATTGCGAGCGAAATAATGCGTAATTTAAAATAAACGGCAGTTACACTTTTCCAAATCTGAAGTCCATATTTTATAAAAATTCTACCGTATATTGATCTTCTAGTTAATAATAAATTGAAGGATAACTCAGAATAAAACAAGATTGATACTAGCTTGTTTTAAATTTCCAGTAAGGCCGAGTAGACGGAGTAACATGTAAGTCTTTCAATCTTATTCTCTTGGACAAGCTATTGCAGGTACTCACGTTTTTAATCACACTGTGTAGGTCGCTAAAGTGCTGTGAAAACTTTATTGACTTTCAAATAGCATACAGCGACAGTTTTAAATCACCGGATAGGACGTAAGATTGTTTTAAATTAGGCTAATGAAACATAGCATACTATAGTACTAAAAGTATAGTACATCGTAATTCGTACATTATAGAGCATTCCACCCAAGTAAATATTGCAATTTTACGATACTGATAACAAAAAACTTGACATCAGTGCATTCGATTTTAATCATTAATAATCGTAAGTAGACATATTAGAGTTTGTTGTCAATTTGTATAGGTCATTCTTATTTATCAAAAATTGGAAATTAACATACAGCATAGAGGGATACATTTGGCATGCATACAGTAAATTTGTACAGAAATGAACAGTTGTGGTGCCATTCCATAAGATCATTTAAAAAATTATCAGATACTGCAATACTGAATATCACTCATATGAAGCTGAGCTTTTATAGTAAGAGCTACTCTTTGATTTTATTAATTAAACAATATGGTGCGATTATAGATAAATCATCCTGAGGGAACAGATCCAGTTAAGAGTACACTTTTATTAGTTGCCTGTAATATTTTTATCATAAATGCAATTGGTTTGTTACGAATAACTCATTTCAGCAGCCGTTGACATCGGCTTAGGTAAATACAAATAGTGTTCGAGATAGCTGGCTAATTCATCTGGCGTTGTGTCATCTTGGTAGTTTGGACTGTTTTCTGTTACATCTCCATTGCCACAATCTGTGATAATGTTCTCATTCACTTCCTTTCCTTGATTATGTTCTAACCAGGCTTTAGCCATATTTAACATAACTGGTTTATTTTTATTGGTATTCATTTGAGACATCTTTGTAGTGTCGTTTTGATCAATTAGCGAAAGGTTGGCTACATGATGGTCTAAGTTAGGATTTCCTTGGTCAATGTCTGAATTTATACATTTGACAGATTCATCGTTGTTATAAACTGCAACCTCTTCTCTATAATTCTTTCCGCTGTTTGCAGCAGCGGCTACATCTGATACTGCCCGGCGACTATGGTCGAAGTTGCAAGTTGAATCTGGATACACTTGATTAATATTAGTCATATTTGTGTTCATTGAATGCTTAATTTTCGGATGCGGCTGATATGGGTAACGGTATGAATGGGGAGTTGGAGTATAACGATAAGCACATCTACAATGCATCTTACTTAAATAACCGGCGGATAAGTGTAATTGATCCAATCTATCAATGGTATCATCGATCAGGGGCAGTTCATCACAGTTACAATTCCGGTAAGGATGGCAGGGTTGTATTGGATCTAGATATATTAGGTTCAATGTTAATTACATTAGTTGACTTATGATAAGATGAATGCAGCTTCACTTATTTCTGAATTTAATAAAATCAGTTATAAATTAATAAATAAATTGTATACCTTGCATGCGTGCCATTTTATCAGTAAAACGTTAGTACAAAGGTGGAGCAGCTTTTAATTCGCAACGCCAAAGCCTTAGATTCACTGCAATGTAAAAATTGAATGTCAGTATCACAAGCGGAATGAAAAGTGCATCGTTAGATGTTTGTGAAAACCTGCGACCTAATGCTTAGTCTAATGAGTTTATGGTTGTTAAATTTCTGATGCTTACAAAGGTTGGATAAAAAGAAAGCTAGCAGTACTACATGATGAGTATAGTACGAATGTTGTACCTCTCGCATTTAATTACGCTAAATGCATATTCATGTCTATTCATAGAGTAATTCAAGATTTTATACTTCAATTTCAGTAGCCAAAAACAAGCCTTTCAATGATAGGTGTTATTGAGTAACTGTGATGACATTACTACTTACTATAGGTATACATTAATTACGCTAATATTGCGATTTAATTAATAAGGTTAAGCCAAGACTTGTCGTATTCATATACTCGTATACGTTATCAATCAGTCGGGGATTGTTTTAAATCTCTTTCAATGCTGTTTTAATGGAAAATTGTGCATAATACTATCTTGCATGGTCAGTTCCGACATTTCTGAAAGAGCTGAGGTAATCGTATAATTCGTATAATTAATAGTCGTGTGTGTCATTTTCTATTGCTACTTTAAGGTGAAGTCATTGATCAAAAATGCGAATCAACTTCTGAAATTGGAGAATTAAATTAACTGACAAGGTATCAACATATCGATATATCATGACGTTGAACAGACTTACTGTATTATACAAAACAACTGTCTCAAGCTGTCTTCATACGAATAAACGTATGATTCAGTTTTCTCACACAAAGTAGTAGCGTTATACCATGTTCACAAGGTATTCATTAAGGATTTCATTCAGATTGGATGATAATGAATAAATTTAGAATTCCAATCGAAGAAATATTATGAACAACTTCTTGAACTCAAATCATGATGACTATGTAAAAGCAGATAAGATTGGAGATTTCTTTTTAGAATACAGTACAGTACTTTGTTGTCTGGCAAAATATGCTGTTGATAGAGTCCAAAAGCAAGTTTCTTGTCTATTTAATGTACTGTATATTATTTGCCTCCCGTAGATTACTATTTGGTATTAAGCAGTACTGCTATCTTTTGACCTAATGTGTACTATTCATAATAACAACAACCAATATACTGTACTACTATAAAAAATGGGGTTAGATTATTTTATGGAGTAGGTACTGTAATGTGCAGACCACAAAAAGTTGGAGAAAGATTGATTGCTTATTACAAAATTGAAAATAATTGAAAGGATTCTTGGCCAACTATTAGTCTATCCGATGGTACCCGGATATCCAGTTATAGTTCCATAACGAGTATCACATTATTAGCCTATAGTCCAGTTGTGTGCGTCATTTGAGTGTATTTTTTCTGCTATCATGTTTGAGTTGTCGTATTTGTTGTCTGAGTTATCAATGTCGACTGGAAGATCATTGTAATATAGTAGTCACAAAGAATCTATCCTATGCGTCAAAGTGTTTTTTGAATGATACATATTACATAGCTAGCTCATGATAAAAATAATAATGAAAATCCTTCAGCTGTTATTGCATGGAAGGCATCCACAACGTTAGACTCCAAATAAGCGCAAATGGGAGTCCATATGACAAATAGGATACATCGATGAGTTAAGTACTGTATGTGTTTATAAGCAATTTCCAGAAAGATATCGTGGGCGAAAAAAAAACACTTTAGCAGGGCTTTTGTTATTCAAGATAATGATGATCATTCTGTATAGATTGAATCAATGAGGAGATGACTGTATAGGAAATGTAGGAATGATGTACATGTAGGTGAATTTGTTAAATCGAACTAGATTGGAGAACTTTTCCAAGAGCATAAAATGTAGACATAGCTAAGAGTATTTTTAGTTTTCCTTGACGCTTTAATTGCATCGTCATGGAGTCGTTGTAGCGTACTTACCACAAACTGTTTATTCTATTTTATTACTATCTCTGATTGGATCAATTGGCGAAGACGTTCATCGGCTTTATTTCAATCAGATTATAACTATACAACATCGGTAGGATAGAGTAGAAGGAAAGTTGGCAACGTTCTGATGTAAAATGGATAGAATTTGCCACTCTTTTTCAAGCCAAATATTGATGCTTGTCACTACGATACTGTCAAGCGTATCAACATACTACACAGTAGCATCGTACTATTTTGTAGGTTAACTCTGTCAGCATTGATTGCCCGACGGTACTATACCCACTGTCCTATACGTAAGGATAATACAAAGGAAAGGGTACGCGAAGTGTACTGACGAACGAGGGACGGACTGGAGATAAATGGAAAGGTAAACCCTTGATCTCTATGCTCAATGGGGCTAATGATGGCGAACATACGGCAAACCGACAGTCCATGGTATGAGCCTTCTGAGCTTTCTGGGCTATAGTAGTACAGTATCATGGTCAATGAATTAATTAGAATATATTACAATATACTGTAGAGAGGTAAAAGAAAAAAGAAAGGGCACAGTAGTATTGCGGACTTGAGGGAGAAACAAAAGGCGAATGGCGAATGAGAAACCTTTCAATCCATTATTCCGATTTTACGAGAAGGAATGGATACAGTACTGGTACAGTACAATGTACCGTACAGTACTTTATTACAGTACATCGTACCGTGCCACCATAGTACTGTACTGTACATACTGTATCCAAAACTTTGCCAACTACAGTACTGTACAAATCCCTGTATTGTACTGTACAGTACAGTACAATACACTGTACAGTACGGTAGGTTCTCGGCTACAGTACGTACTGTACAGTGTACAGTACTGTATTGCGATTTGCTTTTCGGAAATGATGGAAGGTTTCAGACCGAACCAGACCGTTATTGGTGAGATTTTACGAGAAGGAATTGATACAGTACAGTACGTACAGTACAATGTACAATACTGTACAGTCGAGATTTTTTGGTACTGTACAGTACTGTCATGTACTGTACATGTACTGTACTGTACAATACAGTACAGTATCCTTTAGTACAGTACAATACTTTATCACAGTACATTGTACTGTGACACCATAGTATTGTACTGTACTGTAGTGGTGTGTCAAAACTTTGCCAACTACAGTATAGTACAGTACTGTACAGTATAGTACTGTACTGTACAGTACAGTACAAGTGACTGCATTGTACCGTACACTGTACACTGTACACTGTAGGTTCTCGGCTACAGTACAGTACTGTACATACTGTACAGTGTACAGTATGTCGGTTTGCTTTTCGGAAATCATGAAAGGTTTCAGACCGAAACAGACCGCTATTAAGAGTACTGTACTGTACAGTACAGTGCATTACCTCGACTGTACAGTCTACAGTGCACAGTAGAGGCACTGTAGGCCAAGAACTGCCCACAATGCTCGGTGGTGAAGCCACAAGATATGAGACTACACTAGCTCGATGTACCAGTGTAATGTACAGTATAGCAACCGCGAACATAGAGTACTGTACTGCACTCCGACATACAGTATCTCTACGTGTCTACTACGCTTCAGCACGCGCACCTCACAGTAGACACTCGTATAAAAGAAAGCAAAGTTTTGGACACCAAGCAAACGTTTACTGAATCAATGCCAGCAAAGAGATCCACAGCCTCGAAAGAGATTTCACGTCGAAAAATTTCAGCCAAAATGCCCATCAGCAGCAGTAGCAGCAGCAGGAAACGCAAAAATAAAACTCCCTTGGATACTCAATCAAAAAGGCAAAAAGGTAAACCTTGACAGTTGCTGCTCTTCTCTTGGACTACGGCGGGAATTTTAGAATTTCAATTACTTTAGACATGATCGACTTTTCTGTAGCCAGTAAAAAACGAAAGCAGTTGACGACTAGGAATGAGTAAATCCCCGATCGATGCCAGTCCAATCAGAGTATAGTAGGGTTTGGTTAGTAATAATTGACGCATTATGATGAACGCAATAGTCTGTAGATACACTCATATTTGAATTGGAGCAATCCAGATGAACTGCAGGTGTAGTTAAAGGACACCAGCTACTGCAAGGATTTCAACACGGTATTGGTGTTCCTTATACGACTACAAATATGCAGTACTTCAATATACTGGATTACCCATACTGTTGAACAGTAATTGATTTTCCTAAAGCAAGTTACGGTCCATGTTTCTCCTTGAGTAACGCTGTTACTGTCCCAGTATAATCAGTTTAATAAGTTAACCATATTTCTCGCTCAGTTTAACTGAGTTGTACTTAGTAAATAACTGCTAATAATTCGCAAGAAGAGTAAACCTTCACTCTATGGTACTCTATGAATTATAGTTTAATTATACAGTACTAGACGTTGCGATAGATGATAGTTGAAGTGTTTGTATAAAATGGATAACGGTATCATAGCTAGATTAAATATTGCATACACCTAATTTGCATAATATAAAGTAAAGAAAAAGTGCAAGTGTGGAAAATGCTAATTCTTTTTGACCTGTTTAAAGTAAGGCAAAGACTATTGAGTTCAATGCAAAGTTAACTGATTTATTCATTTATAATATAAATTGCGGTCATCGTTTAGCTCGGCTTTCATTGGCTTCCGATGAAGCCGGGATAGTACTTGTATTGGGACAAGGGGAGCTTGGCCAGTTAGGATTGGGAGAAGAGATTTTAGAACGTAGCAGACCGACGGCTGTTAAGAAACTCCTTGAAGTAGAATTTATTCAAGTTGCATGTGGTGGTGTTCATACTGTTGCCTTGACTAAAGCTGGCGAGGTAGGAAGAGAAAATTTGTGAGTGTACTTGGATTAAACTGAAATGACTATTCTAAATTTTTTAAAAGCAAAGATATTTAACTAATGATTAGGCTGTATATCTAAATTCTCCTTTTGGGTCAGCACGGTAGATCCACAGCATATGCATTACTGTATTATTAGATTTATTTTAATTTCTTAGCGTTGTGTACTTGCCTATCAGGCTAAGTTGTGGTATCAGAATTAACGGTCAGCTTTGTACAACATCCTATATTACACTGTATTTTTATATTTTCGAAGCTTAAGTTCTGCTGAGATGTTCGCGAGATTACTATTGTATACAGTACTCTAATGCTTGAATAATGGCTATTATATACCTGGGTTAACACCTTTCTACATTGTTTGAGAATGCTTAAATAGAAGTTAAATTAATTCAGTGATTTGTATCAAACAATGTACTCGTATAATGATTATTGTAGCCGTGTTCGTAGCGTTTAGACTATAAAAAGCTCAGAAACGCAATTTACCCACTAGGTTTAAAGTATATATTAGCTAGCAGTAAGAAATACTTTTGTAAAACAGTTTAAGAATTAGTGTTTGCAATAATATATACCAAAATACCAAGAAACATCCAAAGCCTATTGCTGAATTGTATGTATCATTATTATGCATTGGTATCGTGTTCTTTAATACATAATCGATCTTCAGGGATCGGTAATATCGAAGGCGAAATGCCTGGATATAAATCTATCTTACTATTAGAAAATTATTTCGTCTTTACTTTTTAGAGGCGTACAGTACTTAGATAGGCTTATTAGTTGCATAGCTGTATACCGTATTGCAATTTACTGGTGGTTTGCTAAAAGTTATAATTATTAACTGATCCTATAGATATATACGTGGGGCTGTAATGATGAATGTGCCTTAGGTCGCGATACTTCTGATACAAGTGAGGCAGAATATTTGCCTGGGCTAGTTGATGGTCTCGATAATGTAAAGATTATCCAAGTTTCAGCCGGTGATAATCACACCGCTGCCTTAGCCGATGATGGTCGCGTTTTCTGCTGGGGAAATTTCTGGGTACATGACATTTTTTCGTAGAATGCTTCAAGGATGTAGTACTGTAATGCAAACCAACTAAAATTTTTTATGTATCTATATTAGGATAATCGGGGGTCTATAGGACTGAACCTTGCCGGTAAACAACCTCGGCCCATTGTTATGTTAGGAGATCCGAATGACCCAGTGATAAAGATTGGATCTGGAAATAATCATGTCGCTGCGTTGACTGCCAACGGACTTATCTTTACATGGGGTTGTGGCGAGCAAGGTCAGTTAGGGAGAGTCGCAGAGAGATTTTGTAGTCGCGATACACGCCAAGGACTTAAACGCTTCTTGCAGCCGGCAGTTGCTCGTGTTACGCAAAGGAGCAAAAAAGATATAAGGTTTAGCGATATTTTTGTTGGCCCTTATAACTTATTTGCCGTAAATGCAGCAGGCGAAGTTTTTGCTTGTGGTTTAAATAATTATGGTCAAATCGGTAACGGTAACATCACTAGTTTATATTATTTGGCGAAAATTGATAGTTTATCGGCTCTAAATGATGGCAATGATGAACGACAGATTCTTATTGCCTCCGGTGAGCATCATACCTTAATTCTCGCCCGCAATGGTCGTGTTTATAGCATAGGTAGAGGTGATTATGGACGCTTAGGGCTTGGTCCTGATGTTAAAGAATGCTCTCATCCCACTGAGATCGAAACTTTAGCAAATTCAGATATAAAAGCTGTTACCTGTGGCTTAGCAGTGTCTTTTGCCGTCTCCAATTCAGGCGATGTCTATTCCTGGGGCATGGGTACCAATTTGCAACTAGGTAGTAGCACCGACGATGATATATTAACACCAACCTTGGTAAAAACGAAAGAAAGTTATAATTTCTTTGCGGCTTCTGCCGGTGGTCAACACACTGCCATCTTGGGTAAAAAGAAATAGCTTGAGGTCTAATTTAGTGTTTGTAATTGACTAGCATATATTTAATCGTAACGTAGGAAATTTTGTATATATATTTACGTATATATATACATCTATATAAAGATTTGGATAGTGCGTTATTCGGTACCTTTTTATGGAAACCGTGCTAGGTTCCAGTTATTTCCGTAGCACTGATCGTTTGATTATGACCGTGCAAATTCTAATTATATAATCATTGAGTAATTTCCTTCAATGCGCATTATATTATATCTTGTAGGTCATGAATAATTGCAAAGCAGGGTTATTGCAGTCTCTTAATGATATATTTACGAGTCTTAGTAAATTAATTTTTATAAAAATCTCTCGAGGTACGGTTGTACAACTTGTATTAGGATGCATTCATGAAATAGTGATTGGCCGTTATGGCAATGACTGTACTGAGAAAACAGATCATTAATATAATAGCATATATAGAGCAATTTAGCTTTCCTTCCTTGGCATCTTTGGTTTAAGATGAGACCAGAATTGTATTTTAATGGTGGAACGATATTATGGGAGATGGATGTTAAAAAATGACTAAAGTATCAACATAGTGCTTGAAAATATGTCAGTAGTGTAGTTTACCGCCCGCTTAAGGTTACGAGGATATGCTACTTCGCTCTATTGCATGTCTGTGCTTTATGCGGAATATTCTATTTTATATATGTAAAACACGATTATCACTTTATGTTTGTACTGTACTGTATATGTTATAATCAATAAAAGAATTATACGTACAAACGTTATTTCGATCTCCGGCTTGCAAGTTTGTCAATTATAACTTCATTTACTTGATTTAATATGGTAGCGAGAGTGAACTAAAGTGCAATTGATCGCCAATTAAAATTATTCGCATACCCCCAACTGTATTATAATGTGGAGTTTATAATACAGTGTACGAGTATATGTTGTATTCCGACAGCTATTCTAATGTGCATCACTATACAGTATTATACTTTATTTAGCTGCGCAAGTTATATTTGTATTTATATGAGCTACTCTTTAATCATACACTAATAATTAGTTTATGATTTCACTTTATTTACCTTAAAAAGTTTCAGACTATTTTGGACAAGGTTTAAAATAGATAGGTTATATACTGTGATGCAATGTGGCTACAATACAAGCACAATGTAAACAATGAAGTTTTTTAATCAATCAGTCATTGGTAAGTCACCAACGATAGCATGAAAGGAAGCTAGAAATTTTATTTTGCGAATAACAAGGATTTCTTATTTTACCATGCACGGTATACTGTACTTGTCCATATAATTAGTATCATTGTTCTGATTTGTACGTAAAGGCTCTCAGAACTCCGTTTGATAGATGATAGTACTCTTATAACTAATGATTTTCTAAAGTAATGTGATGGCACTCGCACAGAAAGGATATCACGCAAAAATGCGTATAACATTATGATATTTGATCGGCTGCTTATATGCGTACAGGTTAATTGATTAACATCCTACTGTGCATGCTGTACTAGCATGATTGATGATCGTTTAATTAATTTTGATTTCTTCACACGATTGTAATGTTAGCTATTCTTGATAGAGATGACACGATAATTGAAGGTAGATATCGTTTATTGAAAGTTAGGATTAGGAGGAAGCGACACAGATAAGTTAGCCTCGTGGCATCGTGATTCAAGACAAGTATCTAAGATAAATTAGTTATTAATCTTGTTTTAATTTAATTTATTGCTTTCTGCAGATTACCATTCATTTAAATGGATGGATAGTTTACTAGTTTTAACTAGACATTTTGCAAACTGACTAGGCATTATGCAAAATTGCCGGAATTCTTGCCATAGACGGTGTTCAATCTACCGTAACATTGCTAATGTAGGTTTACCGAGTCAGCGTGTAGGAAGTAGCTCATGAGGTCACACATAACAACACCCTTCTTTCTTCTAAACTTTAAGAATCACTTTATTATAGTGCTACTTCGATTTATGATCTGTAATATGTTTCAAGTGAACCTTAAGAACATACTGTACGTCTAGAAACAGGATAGTCTTCTGCACAGTACGTCATAAACAGTTTACGCACATTGTTCGTATTACGTAATCAGCAAAGCGACGGGAGTTTGCACTAGTAATATTATAATAACTACTAGTACAGTACAGTACAGTACAGTATAGTTGTGGTGTGGATCATAGTCTGCTTTATTTAGGTCTCGCTCTTCTTCTACTGTACGCATGTACAGTACACATTGTACAGTACAGTACAGTATAACAAGTAGTACAAATTAGCAACAGTACGTTGTGGTATCGTACCGTTTCATCGACAGCTATCTTCACCACAACAGTACAGTACTGTACTACCGCTACCAGGTGCCATGAATCTGTTCACTGTTCTCCTCTTGCAATACCAGAGGAAAATTAGTTTAGCATAATTTAATTTATTTAATTTAGCTTAATTCATTTACACAACCATTATGGCTTTCTTTTTGGACCAGAAATGAAATGATGTCACAGGCTGTACCATGGACTAGTAGGTGTTTAGTAGTAGTCCGTGATACAGTAGACTGTCGTGCTCAGTACAGTACACACAGTAGTCACTACATCTCTTTGTTCAAGTGTTAGTGATACAGTACTGTACACTGTACACTGTACTGTACTTTTGCTTAACTCCAAGTCGTGTTGACTGCACGACTACAGTACATTACAGTACTGTGTGTACAGTATAATAGTATACAGTACTGTACAGTATACTGTATACCATGACCATGATTAGGGAGGGATTTTCTATTAACTATAGTAGTATACAGTACATAATACTACATATACCGTATACCATGACCATGATTAGGGATTTTCTATCAACTATAGTAGGATACAGTACATATACCGTATATCATAACCATGATTAGGGATTTTCTATCAACTATAGTAGGATACAGTACATATATCGTATACCATGACCATGACGAGAGATTTTCTATTAACCCACAAGAGTGTGACGACGTCATACAGTAGTGTCATGCTACTCTGGAACCTCAACAGTGAGTCTACAGTACAGTCACCAGCTACAATACGATGCACTGTAAATAGCATCGTAAATAGCAGTTTGTACTGTAGCGAATTAGACGTGTAGGATTATACCGCAATTTGCCGTTATACGTTGTACGCATGAGACATTGTGTTGTGAAGGTCTTTTTCAATGCTGCTTTCACTGGCTGTACTACAGTTGCTAACCTAGCCATCCTGGTGATACCCATTGCTTTTTTAGCCCTTAAAGGTGATCATGGCGTTACCATTTGACCAACTTTGTCTTTGAGTTTACTTGGAGAAAATATGCCCCAAGGTAGTAAAACAAAGATTATGTTCCTCACCAGAGCGTTGAAGAAAATTCTTGACGATAAAGAAATACGCAAGAGTTATCATGAACAATTACGTAAAGCCTGCGAATCCGCTCTTAGTAAGTAGAAGAAGCATTCAATGGTGCCATTTTATGTGCAATACGTTTGTTCACAACGACATATACACTGATTTCCACTCAATTCGATACTGCATAGAAATAGTACGTTAATTAGAAGGACTATTTCAGCTTAATACTTGGTGACATACCTTATGAAAAGAACTGGATAGAATTTCCACAAGAATATTACCCCAGTATTTTGCATGCTAATGGACAGGGCAGTAGCTAGACAATCTGACTCATCAAACTAGAATCGTATAGTATCCTGTGGTACAATAGGGCGGCACGTACGTATGACTAACGCCATGGTGCTCACACACTTAAAAATCATTCCATGCAATAACATGTCTTTAGCTTCAATTACTTTCTTCAAAGATTGTTATAAAAAGCATCAATACATCGTGTAATGAATGTTATAGTTGATTAGCTACAATTCATGGTTATGTAATGGTCAAATTGATATTAACACTGAACCCATAACGGTATGTAAAGTGCTGGACATTATCATGAATAGTTCTTAGTCCAACGATCACCATGTTGAATGAAATTTGAAGTTACTATAGTAAGTCATGGAAACGATACCAATTGAATTATGTGATGTAGATGACATGAATTTAGGATAATCCAAAATTGATATTTGCTTCAAAGTAATTGCAAGGACTGTAGTCGAAAAATAGCCTTTGACACTCATGATTGTACTTAAAATGGTCATTTAATGATAACTGATATACTTTGCCCTTACTGTTTACTAGCAAAGGAAACATTCCAAAGAGGTTTTGTGTTTCTAAATCGCTTAATACACTATATACATTTACACAGATACTAATATGGATGCTAACTTCTGCACAGATGATACACAGACTAAAAGGGAATGTGGATTACATTGAGTATACGCATACTTAGTAGAAAAGTGTTACTTATTGTGGACATACGCATTAACGGGATAATGTCATTATTAGCTTTGGAAATTTTCTCCAGCTAACCACTTTATTTTGGCTACTGATTTACTATCATAAGTACGATTTGGTGAAAATTGAATGAAAATTCGACTGGAGTTAAACTTGCGGTTTGTTGCAATAGCTTAAAACATAAACAACATCACGATTTTCCGGACTTACATTGTCACAATCGTAGATATTCTTAATCTAGTTTACTGGATAGATTGTACTATTCAGTGAATGGACGCGGATACGATACGTAGATGTCAGTTTTAAGTGTATTTTTCGATTCCTGTATGTTAAATACTGTGCCTTGGTTTTGCATCGATTGAAGTACAGTATTTGGTGCAGATTCGTTACAAGATACAGTAGAGAATAGAATTTATAAGTTTAGGTCTTGCCGAGATGAAAGGTAAGGTCGAATCAAGTTGATTAAGTATTTAAGATAGAATTGAAAATTTCTTTTGTGCTGAAGTATTTCACAAGAATCCAAAGCCAATCAAGTTAAGCATGATTTACAGTATTAATATTATTATTGTACGCGTTTACGCGGCATTGAAAGTGCCGGAAGGTTGGATAATTACGTGTCGAAACGAGAATCAGCACACTTTAATACCGTTGCGTGCAAATACATAGAGTATCATACAGGCTACAGCATATTTACATGCTATCATATCTCATTACGATATTTGTTAAATCACTGCAAAATAGCTAGTGGAATATAAGTAAAAATATATCGCTATCATTTGTGCTATAATTATTGAACTATGTTTATCCATTAGTACTCTACATTAGTATGACTTTGAGTGATCACAATTATAACTAGTGCAATGTACTACATATAATTAGACTGATCAGCAGCAATAATTTTCTTATTTCTCCAACATACAGTTCATAAACATGTGTGGACAGTATGGTGGGGGGTTACCTTCAACTATACAGTATATTCCTATGATACATACATACGGGCACATAGTTAATCCAGTAACAATGTTGTTATTTAATATAAGTGTTTTTGTCGTTTTTAAACGCATTTATAAATTGATTCGGGCTTATGCAACTATTCCTTTAATTAAGTCATTGCAAAGGAGCGTTTAATTTAAATTGTCATTATTAATTATTTGGATCCCGTTTGATAAAAATCAAGAATTTATTGACAAATCATGCATGTAGTGTAAAATTAGTCAACGACAATACTACTGTTCCTTTTTTCGTTTGAATGAATGCTGATGATTTGATACTGTATCATAAAGTTTAAAAATGATTTATATGTAATTATCATGCTGAAATCATCGAAAGTAGTTTTATTTATTTTTATTATAGAAGAAATTGACGTTAAATATAGTATACTCGTCAGTTACATTGACATCAAGGCAGTAATAAGGTCTGTCCTATTGAAACTGGTATAAGCTATGTTCGACCTGCCTCTTTTGTCATATGCTAGCCATTAAAATTTTTTTGGGGTGCAATATCAATTTTCATCGATAGGTGCAGATATATACCTTGCTCGACGCAATTGGGACTGTAAATTCACAACTGTTTTTAATATTTTGTAGTAACTATATTAAAATGGTTCTAATCGGTAAATTTGGTACTGAGAGTTTGCATGCATCTTTTGACCATCATAAATTGTTAATTCGCGAATCTATAGATAATTCCATCAAACAATCTTCATCACTGTGTTAAGACGCTACTAGCATATACTGTATGTACCATCATCATATACCATGCCGTTTGGTGTTACCGTATGGCACAGTAAATTTTTCATTTGTGTCCCACCCACAATGGTATAAATGAGTTGTAACTTTATGCATTTAATCAAATCGATCTTTTTAGATAGTATTTTCGGTAAATCAGTACTTACTGATGCATCTACTACAGAAAGTGTGCAATGCACTATTTTTATTTTGCTTTGATGCAACAGGTCAGCTTTTATAATATTAAATACTTATTCTTGTAGATCAACTCAAAGCAGAAGTAACCAAATCCAATCCAGTGGCCCAAGAGTAAGTAAACACCGTACTAGTTACTTTGTAAAATTTAAAAGAGACTTTCAGCTGGTGTTATCGTTAGCTTAATGTTTCGTGAGGTAAACGTTAAATTGAAAGTTATTATTGCTTTCTCACTATTGAAGTAAATCCTCGACTCTACCGCTACCTAAATCACAAGATCCGGATGTAAATGCTGACGATTATTTTCTGCCGTTCGAATTGGCTTGCAAGTCGAGATGTTCACGAATCGTAATTGCTTCTTTGGATTGCTTACAGGTTAATTTTAGCTATGTTATGGTCAATCCTCGGGAATAGTCAAGTAAATTGTAGCATAGCATGACGTAAAATTTGTCGATACGAATCTCAGTATTTAGATTTAGTGGATATCAAAGTTGTTATTATATATAGACTTGAGTATCTGTTTTGAGATAAATCAATATCTACGCACGTTTTTCGATCTAAGTTCAGTACCCAATGATAGTAAATTGTAAACTATAGTAATTTTAATTTCATGATAATGGCAACACAATACTATTTATACTAGCATTTAGCACAAGTTTATTATCGCTGTACAGTCCTTGAGAATAAGGCTACAGAATAGAGTTGATTTAAAATTAAAAGTGCCTTATTATTTATTTTAGAAATTAATAGCCTATGGCCAGCTAACGGGCAATGGACCTGATAAAGCTGAAGATGGAAAGAGAAGATTAATCGATAGAATAATAGAAACGATTTGTGAAAGTTTTAATGGAACTCAAACGGATGATGGAGTTCAGTTACAAATCATCAAGGTATAACAATTTGAGATATTTCTTCCCTTTTCTTTTGTGCAATGCAGACATTAAATTATTTATTTGTTTACATTTTTATAATTTCATAAATTGAATGCGAAAGTTTGCGATGGTGTTTTAAGTTAATCCAGCTTGTATATTATAGTTTTTTTATGAGAATATTATGTTGTACTGACTAGTTTATCCTATATTTTAGGCTCTCTTAACTATAGTTACCTCGACATCTTGTGAAGTACATGAAGGAACATTATTACAAGCAGTGCGAACATGTTATAATATTTATCTTGCTAGTCGTAACACCATTAATCAAACTACAGCAAAGGCGACGTTAACGCAAATGCTTAGCGTGATATTTTCCCGAATGGAAGTAAGTAATGTAACTATAACTAATCAATTAAATTTCTCAATTTTATGGACTTAGCAACATGTATTGAATGTCTCCTGTAGTCACAAGCGGCTGCGGAACAAGCCAGTAGAGATAGTAAGAAAAGAGAAGGCCCTAAAGAAACAACACAATATGCGAATCAAGACGGAAATCGAAGCAGAACTGATACTGACATCGACATCGACAATGTATCTGTTGTTAGTGAAAATAGCTTAGCTACTTCATCGGATGAAGTTCGTAAAAGCACATCAACCACTTCAGATACTGTTAGCAAAGAAACAATACAATCAAAAGCGGAAGAAATTCATGAGCAAATATCACAAGCTGCTAATAATGATAAAGCTACGTCGGATGCAGAGAAGTCGGAGGCTAAACATAATTCATCTACGAGTAGTCACCTTGATGGAATAGCCAATTCGGCTGTATCGTGTAATGATCACGAAGACACTAATAATGATAAAGCTGCTAAGGTATCGAATGAGGAGAATGCAGAAACTTCACAAGCAGAACAGCCTGAAGAAGAAGTTAAAGCGGAGGTTGTGACATCGCCCGAAGATACCAGTAACGTTAGCACTGAAAACTCCATTACTAATAATATTCAAGACGGTGTCGCTAATGAGCATTCAGCAGCTGACGCTGCTAGCGAATCTGAAAATATCACTAAAACGGTTAACATGAATACATTATTCTAACACTGTAAGTTTTTAGGAATTAATTATTGAATATATAAAATCTTATTTTCATTTAGGACGGTAATAATGCAGAGATTCAGGAAGTAGAAAGCGAAACACCAAAGGCTGAAAACAATGAGAACAGTTTGGAAGCAGTTCCTTTGAAAAATAGTGGATCAAGCGATGAAATACAGTCTGCTACTGGCACTTCTGTAGAAAAGTATATAATAATGCATTGCTGTGGATGATTAAAAATTTTTAATGATATAAATGTCCAAATTGTATATCGAAATTATCTTGCTTTTATTAGTGAAACCGAGCAACAGCCAACTGACGAAGCTAATAATGCTGATGAGACAGCAAATGCTACAGGAGACTCAGTATCGCATGCTAAGTTCTCACATATTCTTCAAAAAGATGCCTTCATTGTTTTTCGTTCTCTTTGCAAATTATCAATGAAACCTTTAGAAGATGGATATACGCCCGATTCAAGGCAAATTATAGGAGTTATTAATAATATTTTAGAGTGCTTGTTTTATCGGTAATTGATGCCGGTTCGATCTTCATCTTATCATTATTGCTATCTTAGATCCCACGAATTGAGATCCAAGGTGCTATCGTTGGAGCTTTTACTTTCGATTTTACAAAATTCGGGTCCAGTGTTTCGAACAAATAAGACATTTATAGATGCCATCAAACAATATCTTTGCGTTGCCCTGTCGAAGAATGGAGTTTCGTCTGTCCCTTCCGTTTTTGAATTGTCATTGTCAATATTCTTAATCTTAATGGAAAAATTTAAAACTCACCTAAAGATGCAGATTGAGGTATCCAATGATCTTGGTATTTCATATCTTTTAGAAGTGTTGCATTTAAGAGTCCTTCTGATTCAAATTGTAATCGTCTACTAGGTATTTTTTAAAGAAATTTTTCTCAGTATTCTGGAGACTTCGTCCAGTTCATTTCAACACAAATGGATGGTAATGCAGGCTCTTACCAAGATTTGTGCTGGTAAGCATTGGACCGTAACCTAATTAACATGCTATATCGTATCTTGTCTATTAATACTTTAACTTGATTTGTTTTAAATTTTCTGATCTAGATCCTCAAAGTGTTGTAGACATTTATGTAAATTATGACTGTGGCTTTTCGTTAGCGAATATCTATGAGCGCTTAGCTAATGACCTGTCAAGAATAGCGCAAGGTCGGCAAGCTATTGAATTAGGTGCTAATCCTGTACAAGAAAAAAGTATGCGTACTAAGGGATTAGAATGTTTAGTGTCTATCCTAAGATGCTTAGTCGAATGGTCAAAAGATCTCTATACTAACCCACATGCGAGCATTCATGCCGGTTCCAGTATTGCTTCATCAGCAGATTTTGCCTTATCTCAAGATGAAGAAAGAGATGCTACCGTAGGAGATTCAGATACGGAATCTTTAGCCTCTTCAGTATCTATAGTACCTGCCGATAATCCTGAAGAATTTGAAAGTATGAAACAACGTAAAGAAGTTATGGAACACGGTATACGATTATTTAATAAGAGTTCTAAGAAAGGCGTTGCATACTTACAAGAGAAAAATCTCCTTGGCTCCGAACCCTCGGATGTAGCATCATTTTTCCATAAAGATGATCGTTTAGATAAGGGACAGATGGGCGATTTTATGGGAGAGAATGAAAAATATAACAAGGAAGTCATGTATACTTACGTAGACCAAATGGAATTTAGTGGCAGAGACATTGTAACCGCTCTACGATTATTTTTAGAGGGATTTAGACTTCCCGGTGAAGCTCAAAAAATAGATAGATTAATGGAAAAATTTGCTGCACGTTATTGTGAGACGAACTTATCGTAAGTAGCATTAAAATTTTCTAGGTACGTCAAAATAAAAATTAATGAACTTATCTTCGATTTTTAGGAATGGAATTTTTGATAGTGCGGATACTGCTTATGTATTAGCATACTCTATCATTATGTTGACAACTGATTTACATAATGCTCAGGTATATAAGTAAAATAAATCGTCTGCAATAATTAAGCCACTGTTTATATTTTGATGTAAAAATACAATAAATAATTATTGCTGTTATACAGGTAAAAAACAAGATGACAAAGGAGCAGTATATTAAGATGAATCGAGGAATTAATGATAGTAAAGACTTGCCGAAGGAATATTTGGAAAAAATTTATGACGAAATCGCATCCAATGAAATCCGTATGAAGCAATCTAGTTCCAATCGTCCTTCAAAGCACCCTAGTCAAAGTAATAAAAACACACTTCTTTATTACATTTTTTATCATGATAAAGCATTCTTTTAATTAATTTTTTTCGTAGCTATGTTGAGTGAGAAACACCGACGTAGTGCTTACAAGTTAGAAATGGAACAAATGGCTGAGACCGCAAAGGCTTTAATGGAAGGTGTCAGTCATATGGATACGGATTTTATAGCCGCAACACGTGTTGAGCATGTTCGTCCTATGTTTAAGGTAATAAACTTTTTTTCGATCTTTGCAACTGATCGTTACTAATTTCTCACTGACTTTCCCACTTTAAGACGGTTTGGACGCCTTTAGTAGCTGCGTTTAGCGTGGTTCTACAAGACTCTGATGATCAGATTACGTCCTCACTTTGTCTGGAAGGTCTTCGCCAAGGAATAAGAATTGCTTGTATTTTTGGGATGAAGGTATTCATAATTAACGATGAGACATCTATTATTTTCAGTACTTACAAATTTATTACTTTTTCTTATGTTTCTATACAGCTGGAACGTGATGCTTACGTGCAGGCTCTATCTCGATTTACACTTTTAAGCACCAATTCGATCCTTGCGGAAATGAAAGCTAAAAATATCGAGACAATAAAGACTTTAATTTCTATTGCGCATACCGATGGTAATTACTTGGGAAGTTCTTGGTTAGAGGTACAATTTTAGCAGTAACTGTCTTGTTGTATGTACTAACAATAAGTCAATAGTACCCTTTTGCCATGATACGTTACCATAAATTCTTAAATTTTATATAGGTTTTGAAATGTATATCTCAGCTGGAATTAGCTCAGTTGATTGGTACTGGTGTGAAAACTCATCCACTAGAGGATCCTGATGCTACTAGTTAGTTTTATTTTTAGAATGAGTATATACTTGCTCCTCTCATTCAATGATAGAGTATTAACGTAATATTTTAATAAACGGATTATGCTTTTAAATTAATTTTAGATTTGCATAAAGCAACAAATAGTAAACGGCTAGCTTTGCTACAAGAATCAATCGGAGAAACTAGTTCTCAGAGTGTTGTAGTAGCTGTTGATAGGATATTTACGGGATCGGTCAGATTGAATGGAGATGCTATTGGTAAATGAAGCTAGGGTTATAAATTGTATATTGTTGTCGAACCTTTTCTTTAAATCTTATTATTATGCCCATTTTTTTTGCAGTTGATTTCGTTCGGTGCCTATGCCAAGTATCATTAGAGGAGCTACGATCGGCACACAGACGTATGTTTAGTTTGCAGAAAATTGTGGAAATCTCGTATTACAATATGGGTCGCATCCGTCTAGAATGGTCTCGTATATGGGCTGTACTCGGAGAACATTTCAATGAAGTAAATTTTCTAGCATAAAATGTTGAATAATGTTAGATTTAGCAATATTTCATTTAAGACTGTGTCAGCCGTAAATGAGAATCAAGAAGTTGATAAATTTACTGTATTAAAAAATTTTTGCTCTTATGTATGCATTAATTCAGGTTGGTTGCTATCCAAATGAGGAAGTTGCCTTTTTTGCAGTAGATTCACTACGGCAACTATCAATGAAATTTATAGAAAAAGGAGAATTTGCCAATTTTAGATTTCAAATTGATTTTCTTCGTCCTTTTGAATACATCGTGAAACACAACGGGTATAGTATTGATATTTTTATAATATAGTAAAACGGTATTACTATCATTTACTTTGACTAATATAAATAAATTATTTTAAAAGATCAATTACAATTCGAGATATGGTCGTACGTTGTATAACTCAAATGGTACATTCGCAAGCGCATAATATAAAATCTGGTTGGAAAAACATTTTCACTGTATTTCACTTAGCAGCCGCAGATCAAAATGAAGCTATAGTGGAATTAGCTTTCGAGACAACAAGTAAGACGCCTATTTCTAAAACTCTATTTTGGTATAAATAAATAAATAACGGCTTAACTAATTCAACGTACTATAATTTTCAGATAAAATCTTTGAAAGACACTTTAGTGCAGCTGTGGATTCGTTTCAAGATGCTGTGAAGTGTCTATCTGAATTTGCTTGTAATACAAGTTTCCCTGATACCAGTATGGAGGCTATCAGATTAATTAGGACATGTGCGAAGCACGTTGCTGATTCTCCAAATGTAAGTCATCGTGTTAATTATTGGAGTTGTTGCAAACGGAATGTTACTCTTACAAGTGACTTTGTGTCTATATAGTTGTTTCGTGACCATGGTTCAGAAGAAACTACAGTCGTTGATCCAGACCGCGTCTGGCAAAAAGGATGGTTCCCAATTTTATTTGAATTATCTCGTATAATTAGTAGATGCAAACTTGATGTTAGAACAAGGTAAAATTGTTTGTTATTATGACTGTATTATGGTTCTATAAAAATGAAGTGCAATTAAATATAATATTGGCGTATATAGAAAATTGATGTCTGACTTAAAATTTCGTACATTGTAGGGGATTAACGGTGATGTTCGAAATCATGAAGACTTATGGACAATCATTTAAACCTCAATACTGGAAAGATTTATTCAAGATAGTCTTTAGAATATTTGATAATATGAAATTACGAGAACAAAAAACCGATATCGAAGTACGTTTTGATTTAGTAGAGTGATAAGTAGAAGATGGATTTATATACATACATACAGGGTTGAATAAGAAAATTAAAGAGATTTTTTGGTAAAATTTTGAATTACCATGATTAATAATTTTTAGAGAGCAGAGTGGATGACAACAACGTGCAATCATACTTTATATGCTATCTGTGACGTATTTACCCAGTATTTTGATGTTTTGTCGCAAGTCCTGTTGGATGATATATTCGTACTTTTGAATTGGTGTGTCGAACAAGGTAAATTTTATTATGCTAAAGTTACGTGAGCTGGTCATAGTTAATGATTGTTTTTTGGCATATAGACAATGAACAATTAGCCAGGTCAGGAACTAATTGTCTCGAGAATTTGGTAGTCTCTAATGGATCGCGTTTCACTGTTACTCAATGGGATAAAACATGTAGTTGTATTGAGAAGATATTCAGTAATACACTTCCTCGGCAACTGATTTGTTGGCGCCCTAAATTAAGAAAAGATTCTAGTATAGAAACAATGAGTACTGAGAAACTTAATCGTTCTGAAGTTGTATCTCATATGAATGTATCTAATGACGATGCACCTTTACCGAGTGAAGAATCAAGTACCGAAGATATGATAAAAAGTAGATCAAATGAAGATATCCAGAACACTAGTACAACAGGTTTGCATAATTGTCAACATTTACTGTGAAGCAAATATTATGTCATTATGTCATTTTAAAACGCAATTTGTATTGAAGATGGTCCAGATGGCACAGATATTAATGTAAATGAGGCCAATGCATCAAGTGAAAAGGTTGAGTTTGATCATTTGAAAGACGAAGAACCTGTAAAAGAACAAACTAAAGGTATAGTGATAATTTCAATTTCTTCGGTACTTGAGGGAATAAAATAAATAAAAATTTTACCTTGATTTATGTTGCAGAACTGACGGATGCAGAGTTATTAGCTGCTTTAATGATAAAATGTGTTGTCCAATTGGAACTAATTCAAGCTATTGATAACATCATTTTTTATCCCGCAACAAGCCGTAAGGAGGACACCTATTATTTATCAATTGCGAGGGTAAGTTATATATCTATACCTAACACCGGAGATAATTACCTAATTTGTAATGCAATCCAACATATAGAAATCTCAGGAAGTAATCGAAAGCTTTGATCCAGAAACTATGAAAACTTCTGGTATGTTTTCCCATTTACTTTCTGGAGAGTTGTTTATCCTTTTGGATTGTTTGGAGAGATCGCATAAATTTGCGTCAAGTTTTAATTCTAACGATGTGCAGAGAACTTTGTTGTGGAAAGAAGGTTGGAAATAGCAAAATTACTTATATCTGTTGTTTTCATTATGATCAGCGTTATTTATAATTTTTTTGGACCTATCAGTTCATCGATGTTGTAACTTTGAAATACTCTCATTTATAGGTTTTAAAAGCAAGGCCAAGCCCAATCTTATCAAACAAGAAATTAGCAGTTTAGCGTGTTCATTACGAATGTTATTTTGTATGTACACGGATCAGAAACATAGCGATGTTAAATCTGAAGTGGAAGCTAGGCTATTAAGGTAGACGAGCGTTTTTTGTAAAGAATTTACTCGATTGTTCACTTACTAATAACTCTATTATTCGAAGGTCGATAACTGATGCCTTAGTATACTATCCCAGCGTGACGTCAGAACATCATAGAGATGCATGGACCATTCTAATGGTTCTTTTGTTTTCACGATTGTTACAATTAAATGATGATGATGTAAGTAGAAAATATTTATTAGCCATATGCATTGTTGGTTACTGTTGATGTATCATGTTAATGCAGCATCTAAAATTTGTTTTTTATCCGTTTTGTGATTATAGTTCCGGGCCCATGTATCTCATTATTATGAGAAACTCTGTAATTTAATGGAGTTAGAACTTAAACCAGAAATTCGTTATCTACTCCGACGTACATTTTTACGCATTGGATCGATGTTTGAAGTAATACCGCCATTGGATGTCCATGATTAGTAAAATCCATGTAGAATTTGTTTTAAAACATATCAAATTTAATATACAGATTGGCTATCTAAACGCGTTATAGTGGCTCATAATGCATGTCTCATAACCATTATTGTAATTATTGGTTTTATTTTATTAACATCAATCTCAGAGGAAATATACACTTGTAACTTCCGCTATTACTCTCAACCTTCCCTTAGAATATCAAATAATTACACTAACAAGTTAAACTATTGATGTCAATTCAACTTATGAAAATTTTGTAAATGTTCTTAATGTAATATTTGCATCTGCGAAATTATGGACCTATTGAAATTGAAAGCATCTGGCCCATTCTTTACTAAAAATAGAAGGTATTGGGGGGTTATCGTTTCTTGTCCGTATGTGTAACATGTTGTTGCAATACTTAAGAGGCTATCACTACAATCGACCAAAATGTGCTACATAGTCTAACATATATATTATTCTATTAGTAGTTTTTACGGAGTCAGACGTCTATAAATCGCTACTGTACTTAGTTTTTGAAGTTAGAAATTTAAACAATATCTGTTAGAGAACTTTGCAAAAACGGTACTTTGAGTTACTGTATAAAGTGGTTAACTCCATTTGATACTGTAAATCACGGCTCTTGCTTGGTCGTAAAGACTGAAACTAATTTAGCATGCTACAGCGCTTGTATTACTTTAATTCAATCTATAAAATTTTTTATTGCCAAATCATAAATATTTCCACATAAGAAATAAAATTTAGCAAGAATAGGGTTTACCTAATTTTAATGGTTTGCAATTATTTAGTTAAATTTATTATGTGATTTTTTAAAAAGAGCGCTATAGTATGGAGGCTGTTAGGAAGAATCTTTGCGGGATTCTTCAATAATAAAAGCTAATAAGTATGAAATGACACTAATATTGTTACTGCCCTTTATCTTTAAAGCAATCTTGTTAGTTTAATAGCTATACATGACGCATATTAAATGTAGTTAGTACTGGTTACCGGCTACGTACCGCTTTTTTTGTAGAAATGATTGTAAATGTAAAAAAATTTATAATTTGGTACGCAGATCTAGCGATATATTCTTTTACGTATCACGTAATGACTTCATTTATATCATATTACTGGTATAAAACAATCCTAGAGTAAGAATACTACCACAAAAGACAACGTTAATGTTATGATTACTCTCCAGCTTGTGAATATTGTTATATCGAGTATCTACAAAAAAAATTGCAAAGGATTTGCTATCAACGTACAGTTACTAAATTTTTTTTATCTATGTTCATCGGAGATGTGCTACTTCCTGGTCTAACCTCCATCCTAGTGATTTTTCATTGTCGGTCCCGTATTGTTTGAGAATGTTAATAAATAAATGAAACACGTTGACATCTTGTTCTAATATATTAAACAAAATAAATTTATTGCGAATAAATGATGAAGACTCAGATTGTAGTTGGTTAAATTCTGACAAAGATAAAATGCCATTTTCATATAACGGACGGATTAATAGATTTGCATCCATGATTTGACAGATTGCAGCAAAGTTTCTTCTTAATATGTTTTGAAATTCTTTATCTGTAACGAGAATTGCGACTGTTACATTTCATCTATATGTACAATATAGGAATAATAATCATTTACTATGTCTGTAAGCCTATACGATAAAATCATTAAATAAGTTTTAGGGCGATATAAAAAAATTAATTTATCTGCAGTTCGATTATCAAACGGAGAATTAAAGGATAGTCAAGGATTTATGTGTATCTTACCTGATTCCACTATGGTATGTGATGCATTAGTAGTATTAGAATTTTGCATCTTAATTGGGGCTTCATTAGTAAGCTCAAAATCGACTGACGAATCTTTATCATTATTTGTGGCTGGATCTTCAACCGGTGCAGATGGAGATGGCGGTAAATTACATTGAACATCTTGGCCATGTCTTAATGGTTTTAGACAACATCCATAAACCATAAGATTTCCTTTAACACTAGTGCACTTGTTAATTTTTATCGTTAGACCGTTATTATTTCTCATGTATCCCACATTGGCAAGATTTTGCCATATTAGCTTGGATAAGTAAGTATTCACATCACCAACAGGTATAGGATTAGGTGACCATAAGCCTTTGACTCTAGCGCTATAGCAATCAATCGATTGACCGTTAATTCCTTTCTTAATACTGCTACTGGTACGCTTAATGTTTACATACTCAATTTGTCTAGCTTGAACCTCGTCGAAGATGATAGAAAATGTTAGAAAGAATCCTCTTGGTGCTTTATTAATACCGTTGTTATCTGGATATCTTCTGACACCGTCAATAATTAAAAATAATTGTCTATGTTTAAGAGCATTTTGAGTGCCTTCTTCCCAAGATCCCATTAAATCGTAGACCTTTCTTTCAAAATATTTGTATACAACATTCTTTCTAAAAATAAGTTTTCCATCATCAGGTTCAATAAAATCATCGATATAGGGAACCTTATCGGCACTATTATATTCTACGTAAGAGCTAATACTAATTGCTTTATCAATCCATGCTTTTGATTGCGGCACTTTATATCCATAAACAAAAATCAATCTTTTGTTGGAAATATAACCAGCTGCTGGGATTTTATTCCCGTTTGTGAGATTGATTGTACTTAAATGAGATGATTTTGTAGATGTGATCTGGTGAAGATATGATATAATATTTTCTTTAGGAACAACATCCGGGATACCTGTGATAATACCCTCAAATCTTTCCAATAATTTCCCTCTTATAAACTCAGTGCCAGCTGATGATATCCCTATATATTGAAGCTTTTTGATAACTTCGTCATTAACATCAACTGAAAATGATATGTAATGGCCAAGTATACCCTTTGTAGAGCCCAAATTATCTGGATACCTCCTAACTTCACCAATAACAAGGCAAAGTTGCTTATTCTCGATAGCCTCTTTCATTTGAGATTCCCAGTAATTAGATTTTAAATTATGGACTTTACGTTCATAGTACCTTATAACCTTTTGATTACTATATTGTAGCTTTCCATCACTAGGTTCAGTAAAATTTTCAATATATGGCTGATCTCCATGAGGTTGCCTGCTAATGCAAAACAAAGAGATTTTAGCTGCACCTGAGCATAACATTTAAGAGCATGGTCAAGATAAAGATATGATTAATTACTCGATATAAATCATTTCTGTAATTAATTCTGTACAGTGTCATATACTTGTCCTACGTCTTAATTACGAAGATAGGCAACCACATAATTGCGTTCTTTATGCTAAGTATACAGTAATTAATTTCAATTTTATAATGCACAAAATATACGAAATACTAGAAGTACGATATATTGGTTTACTGATGCATCGAATTATCAATAGAATATTGTGTGCGGTCTACTGAGATACCTACAATACGATAAAATAAACAAAAATATGATAATACTTTATAGTAGTACGCGTATGATACTAGTCTAATGAGAATAATATCGATTGGGGCACTTAATACGCGTGCTGTATGAGAATATTTTATTTCAAAGTCTTCAGCTTTATCTAAAATTATGTTTCGTACAAGCATTAAGAAGAAGTAGGCAATCATCCTAGTCCATTTGTAGAGATGGAATCATCGAGTATTTGTATCATACAGTAGTTATTAGTGTAAAGGTATATGAAGAATTAGGATTGAGCAGCAATCCTCGTTGATTTTTGAAGCAATTAGGTATAAGTTTAATTGATTGATTTGTGTGTCATCGGCTGAAAGTACTACTGCACTTCAACTTTATGAAGAAAAGAAATGGTATAATATTGATATAATTCTGCCAAGTTTCTGTTATTTACGGTGAAGTAACAAACTTTATATGTTGGGAACGATTGGTTATCCGTTGTTATATATTAGGTTAAATTGGCTGCGTTTGCTCAGCATCATCTTACTGAAATAGCTACTACAGATGCCGTATTCTATTAGGATTTAAACTTGTGATAGTCAAAAATGAAGGCGTAATTACAAAATACCGTATATGATCATAGCAGTAGCGATCCTTTAATTTGTTATTAGCTTAAAAATACGTGTAGAAGTTAACTCAGCCATTTCAGTTGACTATACGGTATACAGCACTCGTCTACTGTCACGCATAGTACTAGTAGCGAACTGAAATTGTTACTTCAGTCTTATTAAGATTTAAATCTATAAACCAATGGCGAAGACGAACGTTATTTGGTAATATGCGACAATCCATTACGTCAAGTTATTATTAATTGTAATTACTAATGATAGATCACTGATCTATGTATTGAATTTTGAATTGTTGGTAATGCAGTAAGTTAAGTCGATATCAGTGTTGATCAAGTTGCCATTACAGTGGCGTTTTATAAGGAACGAACTTACGTTAGTCTACAGTGAAGTTGTAACATCATCACGTCCAATTACTATTATTTTTATGATATTTGCATAGCATTGCACTTTAGCCATTGAGTTTTATCGTCTCAATATACAGTACTATACGAGTACATGCAGGATATCAAGAGAACAATTCATGATCATTGCACTAGTTAATCTTCCATCATTCTGTTTACCTTTTAAAATTCAGCATTGTGATGAATTATAATAACCATCAACTCTAGTAGCAATAAGGAAATGACTGTATCCAGGCTATCAATATTCCAGATATCTTTATGAATAAATGGTGATCTTTCTTCTAGTCTTGACTGATTGATTGTTATTCAATTACTTGATTTCAAAAAATAGCCGATTGGAGCACTCAATCAATCAAATAAACCTTCAACTCCGGTAAATTATACTGTACTACACTGAGACAGATTTTGGAGGGCAAACCTCCAACCTACTATGTTAATAACTGTCATTACGTCACTAACTGTAAATTACGTCAGCTACTTACAACACTAAATACAGTAAAGTACTGAGGCACGTGACTGCAATAGTGTCTCATATGGAACCCTTACAAGGCCCGGTTTGCAGGGATTCCAGCGATACTAAAATGGCGCAGACCTTGACTCCTTTGCTACCATCTATCGATCATAACTTTCTTCAGTTCCGTTAATAAACTAACTAGACTCGCATATAAGCTCTCGAACATATGCATTTCCTTTATAGCATGATCAAGGTGAAATTTTTATAGATGTCACCAGCTACACTGCTTATCTTTATGGATCACAAATTGCAGTCTCGTTGAAAATGGAACTATCAATAACAGTAAATCGGTACCTCCAATCGTCTTTGGGTTTATAATACCCTTACTACGAAGTTTTCAATTTATCTTTCCTAACAATATCGATATCTAGTTCTTGCACTACCGCAGACAAATACTGCAACAGCTTTAGTTCCCTACAGTATTTTGTTTTTGTTAGTGTGCAATACCTAATAAAAATAACGTTGCCTACTTACTGTTGTACAGTAAATTATATAAATTATCTCTTGTACATTAACCATAAACTATACGATTATACGCGTACAGGTTGTACAAGAGATATCAATTAATTTTAATTTAATCGAAAATAGGAGAAAATTATCTAGCGTTAAAGTTATCGTTATTTGGGGATTCAGAAATACAGATTGAAACTATCCTTTGTTCTTAATTCTACCTACAAGTATCACCAGATCTGTTATTACTTGGGCTCGGCTAAATAACATCGATCCCAAAACATAGAAAATTTTTATTTCTCCGCGAAGGCAAATCTGCAATGAAACAATTTCATTCGTAAATTTATCAAGTGATATCAATAATCTCTCATTCTCAGCTATTTAAGGATAGCCACACGTGTATATCATTACTTGATTTTGGGGTAAATAAATTTAGAGCGCAAGTTATCTAAGCTAAAATTTTATTAATTAATCAATAATAAAATAATGAATTAAATTAAAACTAAGCTTTATTAGTTTTAATTTATAGCCAGGACATATATCCAGTAAAGCAGTTTTAATTAAATTCGTCGATTATGCTCGACGATAATACAATGCTGACTCCTGCAATATTCCGATAGATGGTAAGATAAGTCCGTCAGAAAAATGACGTCTTTAAAACATTCATTTGTAATTTAATGCTTTAAAGACGTCAATTATCATTCAATATCTTTTTTAATACAAATACAGTTTACAGCAGTATAAATGACTTATGTTGTGAAATTTATGATTATTATTCCAAAAGGCAAAAATCACAATAATCAAATCTAGATTAATCTAACAAACGTTAAAATTACAGATTTAATCTTTGCAAAGATTAGGCAAATTATTAAATTGATGTTGGAATTTACTACTAATGGCTGCTAGTTTAAGAATACGTATAACCTAAGCAAACGGTTCAATTGATTTTGCAATTACCAATAATGACTGCTAACGTAAAATTATTATCTTAGCAAAATATTAAATTGATCTTTCAACCATTAATAATTAGCGGCGAACGTGAGATATAACCTAAATTGGACCTGAATCTAATTGTGCTGTTAAATTAATAGATGTCGTAGCATTTCTCGTTTTCCATTTTTGAATAGACGGTCATTTCTGCATCAATAATTGGATTTTCAAGAGTATCGCTGTTACTATTCCAAGAGAATGTAAGGAATCTAGCTAGTCGTTTTCTTGTTATTGCAATGCTGATCGCTATACCAAGCACAACTAGAATAACAACTGGTACAACCACCGCAGTAACGGCGTTGGAATTACTGGGCTGCTCTAAAAGGTATAATATGCAAGAGTTAGGTTATGCTATAATTAAAGAAGAAAAGACTTAAAGACAGTAAATCCTAAATAATGTGATAAGAAAGGTATACCCGTCGAATTAGATTGATCTGGTACAGATACGTTCCTTCCTGGTATTATTGTACTAAAAAGGTATGGAGGATCAGTTAGTATCATAGTATAAATATTCTGAAAGTGACTTTATTTCATGCAACAAATATCATGAACAACTGTATATATATACTTTCAAGTAATTTTATTTTGCTCGTAATCTGTATAGATATTGATCACTGGGATATTCATCTTTATAAAACTGATGATACTGATACTTTTATACGCCACACTTACCTAATTGTTGAGGTTGGTATAGTTTCTACCACAGACATAGTTGATGTAATGTGCTTTGAATCGAACCACGTACTTCTTTCCATGTGCATGTTATCACTGCTCTTCTTATTGGTATCACCATCATTTGCAAGAGTGATTGTTGTCAATATAGTTCTAATATTACTACTCGTATGACTAATATCATAGCCGCTAGTGAAGGAAGAAAAAGTTGTACTAGAAGATAGTAGTTTATACTCAGAGAATGTCGATCTTGACGCTACTGTTCTTTGACTTGTAGTTCTCCAAATTTTGGAATTAAATGTAGCCATAGCTGAAGGTGTAGGAGGCTTACAACTTTGATTTTTCAAAATAATTGGCGCCACTGTGGTCGACGTAATGTGGGTGTTAAAAGATTTAGTCAGAAAGAGAGGGACGCCTATTCTTAGAAGTTGATCATGACTATCGCTATTCCTAATACGATAAATATTAATAAAGTGATAAAGGATAGTTTTAACTAATCATACTTAAGATCATGCTGTTAGTATTAAAAATTTAATATAATTTAGATAAAATTAAGTAATTATGTATGGTGCTGTGATATATTCATGGCATAAATCTTACCTGATTTCAATTTCTAGCATAATGATGCGATTAGAAAGGACTGGATGAGTTATAACATGGATGTTAGTTAATGCTTGTTTAATTGGGTAAATCCATAAATGACCAGTTCGACTTGCATCTGTGATATTAGCTATTTCCATAGCTGAATGAGGAATTATGGCTATTATTTGATTCTTGTGATACAAATGATGAGTATCGATTGAGATGATATAATCATTGGGAAAGTTTTGATTAGAGTGGGGTGATACAGCAACATATTTCCCATCACCATATTGGTTTATCCCTTTTATAAATGTACAATTGTGACAAATTAAATTCGTAATATTCTTTGGAAAGAATAGCTGACCAAAATCGATCATGAATACATTGTTAAAAAATTGAGTATATGGGCTAGCGACGTTAACCATGGCATCCCATAAACCACCAAATCGAAAAAGGCAGTATTTTAAGAGACTTGATCGATTATTATGGTAGAATGTAATCCGATTCCAACGAGTAGACTGTGGATAATTATGATACTTGTCGATGCTGGTAAATTGAATTTGATGAGATAAATTTCCTTTTGCTATTATCGATCCAAATACTTGAATTTGTGACGCTGCATCCATGTAGATTATAACGCCAGACTCAATGGTCAAAGTGACATCAGATGGTATGGTTAACGACAAGTAGATTAAATGTGGATTATCTTTCCTTGACCATGTTGTATTTGATGCCAAGCTATCTTTATGAAGAGTGAAATTAGTAGTTACAATTTGATTCCAACGATTACGGAAAACCGTATAGTCGACATAGGAAAATTGAGAATTCCATCTTGCGTCATTAATAACTTCAGTCACATTGAAATAATCATCGACGCCCCAAAAACAATATCGGCTATCGACAACTTTATCATAAGAGAATGGTGCTAAATTACATAATTGAAAGGCTACATTTGGGTTATTAAAATAATTCCATTGATAGGATGGTGAATTAACTAGATTTTTGACAATGCAATATTTACCGTCTTGAACATTATTGGTTTCAGTAATATTATTAGATTTAAATTGCGAATTGTCATCAACAAGTAATGAAATTAAGTCTGTTTTATATATACTGTTCTTATAAAATATATTTTCTTGTATATTAACTTGATGGTTGTAAGCTTTAAGATTATCATTGCTATAATTATCTACATGTTGAGAGCATTCAAATTTTATTAAATTATGTTGACAATGGTTATAAGTAAAGTTGTTTTTAAGTACATTAATAATAATAGTATTATTAGGGCTACATAATACATCAAGAAGCGAATGACGGCCATAGAAATGATTAATAAATTGATTCTGTTGGATTGTTAAGATTTTTAACTGAGAATAACTTTGCATGTATTGAAAATACAATGTCTCAATTGAATTAAATGTATTATTCTGAATATTAATATTGTTGCCAACTAGTATACAATCTTGAATTGCAATAGCTACTTTTAATAAAGTAAAGTAACAGTGGCTGATCGATAATTTATATGGCTTAATCAGCGTTTGATTCCAGAGTTTTTTCGTATTTAAAATTATGCCATTATTGCCATAGCCACTTAATGTAGTTGCAAATATAGTATTGTTGCCAACTAGATGTTGTGCGCTAATACAACTAGTATTAACCAAATGCCGACTATATCGAAAGTGGCACCATTTAATTCTTATTTGTCCAAGGTAATATTGTAACATGTTTGTTGATGCTTGATTAAATATACAATGGTAAAAGCTTGGATTACCTGATTGAATGATGATACCTCCATCGTAGTGCACAGTATTAAAATTAACATATTGGAAATTCGATTGATTTATTAGTCCGTCTTGGCTTGGATAATGATTATTCCATTCATCATTGGATAACGGAATGTCTTGATTGATGATAATCTTTCCTTTTTCTTTGATTATCCAAGTTATGGGATTTTCGATTGTACCTTTAGCATAGATCCCTACATTGCTCGTAATTTGAAAGATCTGTTCTTTATCTATAATGATTTGGCTACCTGGCAATAGAACCAAAGTTGTTTGATTTAAGATAGTATGAACATTGTTTTTATTGCTACTTTTGTAACTTGTCCATGTTTCAGAGCCTAGAATAGCACCAAAATGAACCAGGGGATCACTTGGGTAGATCTTTCCATTAGGTTGTGATAGAAAATAGGAATAAACAGCAGGACTTTGAACGTTATAAAGAATTCTCTGAGAGATGTAATGAACATCAGTGCTGCCCCAATAGCAATATCTGGTATCTAAATAACCATTCAATACATCCGAAATATTAATTTCACAATCAGCTCTATCATTGGAAAATGTATTATTCCTTGCATCTATTCCATTTTTTGCACTAATAAATATAGCACAAGCAGTTTTTTCTGCCGTTGACCAACTTTCAACATGATTATTGACAATAGAATTTTGGGTTAATTGATGATGTGTACCTTGATCAATAACTATGATAGCATAACTACCGACGTTAGTGCTTATGAAATTATTTGTTAAAGTGATATGTGTATTTGGAACCCGTACAGATTTAATATTTAAAGCACCGATAAGATTGGCTTTGTTATTAATAATTTCGTTATGATTGATAGTAATATTACCAACAAATTCGATCTGCATAGCAGCATCATCGCTACAGTGGTTGTCTCGGACTAGATTATGACTAATAGACAGCTTTCTACCAGAGCCGATAACTTTAAAAATTTGTTGATTTCTTATAATTTGGTTCTTACTGATGTTGATAAATTCTTGAATAGCAGTTGGTGATCTATAGATCTCGATCGCAACTCCACCAGTATCCATAATAATATTATTAGTAAGAGAAATGGCGTTGCAGTCTTGCAGGAAAATATGAGTATCATGGCCAAGATATAGTCCATCGTATGCTGTAATAGCTGACCCTTGACTACCAATGATAGTGCAATTATCCATTTCTATCCATGACCGAGTAGCTTCAACTCCAACATCGGATACTTTGATATAAACATTTTGTAATTGAACGATCGATTCCATAGCGGAAATTGCGAGATGTCCTCCAGTAATATTACAATATCTGAGTATAGAAGCGTTATCTTGGCATGAAGTATTAGTTTGTAATGTTTTTAGCCAAGCTGCGCCATAGAATGAAAGAGTATCATAATCATTACTTTCCTGAATGAAATAAATATTTTGGCTTGATGTCCCCTTGGCAATAAGTTTTCCATTAATTTCTAAATGTGAAGTTTGACAGCGTATAACAACGCCTGCTTCAATGGTTAGTGTTGCATTTGCTCTAACAGTAGTAGGACCAATGGAGCGAAGGCAATAAGGACTGTGTTGAACCTTCCAAATTACAGATTGTGAAATATCTTCCTGAGTAATGGTCTTGCATTTGGTTGTAGTCGATGCAGATAGGGAGAAATTAATGGAATGGGTTAAAATGATAGCTACGAAAGATAAATATTGGCTGATCATGTCTGATACGATTTCTCTTTTCACGGCCTTGGTGTTTTATCTACGAAATAAAAAGTAGTAAAACGATGCTTGATGACTTGGCAAAGATTGAGAGTAACACGTTGGTATTTTTGCACTATTTTTAAATTTGTAAAAGGTTCGATAGGCATAAGTGTGATATGCAAATCACCTATATTAGATCGATTTTCAATAAGAAGAATAAGATCAATACTAAAAACTACACCAGAAAGAAAATCCGTTTCTCCTGATGTGTTAATACCTGGAATTGAATCCAATTAATTCTAAAAAAATCTTTTCACTTCAGGATCAAGAAAGTGTTCAAGGTGATTTTAACACAAACGGTTGGAATTCTCAAAATTTGCAATGGTCGAGCTAATTCCAAAATACAATCTAGCCAAGTGTTATGGATTTTAAGCTTTATCAATTCAATCTAGACTGAATAAAAAAAAGCAAATACTCGTCAGGGTTTTTTTTCCTCGGAGTTTGCATGCGCGTGTGAGAGTGACGCGCTTACGTGAGTCCATTTAAAATGGTAGGAAAAAAATTCACGTTTACTTACAAGCGTCGTCGGTAGACAAACTTTTTCAGTTCAATTTTATGATACGATTAGAAAATAAAAGCTACCACCATTACTTTAAACCAGAGTGGAAAAATACTACTGGAGATTACGTCTAGAGAGAACTTTCTACTGACGGTGAAAAAGAGATGGTAAATTTTCGATCGTCAATGAGCTGGAGGAAGGATCCAATACGTATGATCCTTGATTACCCTATCATTGCCAATTTGATTGGTCAGCAATAACTTTATTTGGTTATTGTTAGACTAATGGAAAGCCCTTAGTTATAAACTAGTTTATCTGTCATATTCTTGCATTTTATTCATTCATTCACTTGATACTAAATTGATGCTTAATGCATGAGCGCAAGGTATATTTAGTGTTGCAAATTACCGTATTGTATTCATAAGTTGTTATTACAAAGTCCCAATCGAGCCTGGAGATTTTGATTCGATGCCCATAAATTGCATTATTAGAACATTGTAGTTATAGGCGAGAAAAATGCCACCACTTGACATGATCGTATGATTTGCGATGGTTTTATCTCTCTATATATGTATATTTGATTCTAGTATATAAACATACATAGACTGGGATCATATGATCATATGAGATAATAAATTGAGGGTATAATACCGTAGAAGTAAATTTTAATGAACTACGGGATTATTGAGGCGATGTAAATTCTTCGTGGAAACTCACAAACTTAAATTAATTAATTATTGAAGTAAACCTTATTATACTTGAATGAGTCAAAACTGCCTAACGTTCTGTTCCTTACACTTTTCTTGTGTTTCTTTTTGAATTTATTCAGTAAACTGTAGCGCTCAAAGCACAGCACAAGACATGGTAATTTCAGTTTTAATATAAAAATTAAAAACTGCTGTCTCTTAGCAGATGGATTATTTCATTGTATATCAGTTAGAAGCTTAATACAGTCAGCGAATTGCAAAGCATCATTGCTATTTTCAATATCGACATCGTTTCCGGCGTCATGGAATGGATGGAAGAAGCTGGCGCATTTATATCTCGGTGTAAAATATTCCTTTACATCATCAGATGCTATCCCCTTATCAATCGCTCGCTTTTAGTATGATTTGTTGTTATTGATTTTTTGCAGTGAATGGTGGCCTGCAGGAGGTCATAAAATCTTTAATTTAGTTTCCAGTTAATAAAAGAAAGAAATCAACCTTATAGCTAAGCTATACTGTATATTCGTCGACACCATCCTAGAGTGGCGAGATATTTTACAAGTTTTTTTTCGACCCTTTAATTATTCTATATTTGAAGTGGTATTGGAATTTCTGTAGTAAGTGCATGTGGCGCATTTTTCGGGGGTCTCTTTCTAGCATAGGCAAGAACCTATCGCATACGTATTTGCAACCGAGGCAATTTCACTATTTTGACAGCCAAGATTGAAGATTTTGATGCATGGCTTTCCATCTGAGCAGCTTGTCGTGGTTGAATTGCCTAATTCGCTCGGAAGGCTCTCGGCATTTATAGGCTGTAAATCGCCGAAAGCGATGCGTTTGTGGATAACTTTAGTAGACGTAATATGTGGGAAAAATTGGAATGGTATACGGGAAATGCTCATTCTATCTAGCGCTGTGCCGTATTTGCAATCGAGGCAATTTCACTATTTTGACAGCCAAGATTGAAGATTTTGATGCATGGCCTTCAATCAGTGCAGCTTGCCGCGGTTGAATTGGCTAATTCGCTCCCAAGGCTGTCGGCATTTATGGGCTGTAAATTGCCGAAAGCGATGCGTTTGTGGATAACTTTAGTATTCGTAATATGTGGGAAAAATTGGAATGGAATACAGGAAATACTCATTCCATCTAGGGTTGCGCGGAATACTGTACTCGTCCACGGCAGCCCTCTTTTTCAGTCGAGGACAATTTACCACTATACAATGTAGTAGTAGAGGATGGAAACAATATCAATCTCGATTTGATATGCCGAGGGTGGATTCAATATTTATAGGGTAAAATTAATTTCATGCGCGACATTATCCGGTTTCGCTTTTTTTTAGGCTTTCTCTATCACACCTCGCACCTGCCAAATCGTAGTCGACTAATCCCTGAATGGCCGTATGGTGATGTCAACACTTGAGCCGTTCAGTACTGTGTGTGCGTTTGTTGTGTACGGTACCGTACTGTAGTATATGCAGTAATTCTAGTAGTCCAGTACAGTACTATACTAGATTTGTAGAGGTGTTTCAACTGTTTTTGAACATCTCACTCACAGTAATTTCACACGTGGCGCTAGCCGCATACAGTGGGTACGGCTACGGACAGGATGTACAGCTGTACGCTGACAGTCTTGATTACAACAAAATTTACAGTACTGTACTGTACAGTACAGTAATAACACTAAATCTTACAGTACTGATACTGTACACTGTACAGTGTACAGTACGTACAGTAAGACTGCACGCTATATATTGCAACTGCGCAGTCTAATCTTCTTCTTTTTACCTCTTTCGAAGATTCTCGACATTGAAGTCATGTAAGTTTCTCCTTCAATTTCTGCTGCAATCATGCAATAATCTTTTATCATCCTTATGAATTACATGCAAATATGGGTAGAAATGTTAAAATGACATGATGATACTTCCAGAACCAGTATACTTTCGTGATAGCTAAAATGGATTAGATGTCCGATTTCCGTTTGAATTTGCATGTGATGTGGAGTAGTATAGTGATATACTCGACACGGTAGGCTGTTTTATTGCGCTGATGGTGGAATAGGACAATCAGGATAAAAGTGTGCAATCATGCTATACGTATTTCTGTATCTCAGTTGTAGTAAATAGTGGTTATAGATTGAATTAAACCAGCGTTCCACTGTAGATCAGATGGATAGATTGCTAATTTACGATCAATTTCTCTGCTAATCTCCCAGTTGATTAGACATTGCTGCACAGTAATATCAGATACTGCTAGTTCTAAAACGATCAACTGTATGGTATTGACCACCGTTGTACGTCATATCGTCCATTTTACAATCCTGCTAATCACTTATCCTTATTTCTTATTACATTAGCGAGGAGATCCGCTATTAAATCATCATGTCTGACGCGGAAGGGTAAGGTTTTAGAAATAGATGATATACATTTTATCTTGAATTTTTTCCACCATAGTAACTTCAACTAAAGTAATTTTCTTGCATCGCGTAGAGATGATCAACCTCAACCTCAAGTTGAAGCTGAAGCTACTGAACGCCCTGGTGACGTCCAGAGTGCTTTAAAAGAAGTCTTAAAAAGCGCTCTTATTACCAATAACTTGGCTCGTGGTATCCGAGAAGCCTGTAAAGCCTTAGATAGGTAATGAATAGTGCTGGAGAGTGGCTTAAAGTAGCTGCAAAACACGTGTGATGACTTCAGATTACAGTAAAGTATTCTAAGGCAAAGTACTAAAATGACATGTCCTTTGGATCTTCTTATAGGCGTGAAGCGGACTTGTGTGTCTTAGCAGAAAACTGTGATGAACAGCAGTATGTTAAACTGATCGAAGCTTTATGTGCTGAACATCAGATTCCATTAATGAAGGTACTCTGTTGGTCATTTTTATCTACATTAATCAATTTATACTCTATTCTGTTGATGTTAGCAGAAACGTTGAATTATTATCAGATTTACTGCAGGTTAAACTATTTGATGTTGTAACTTTTATTTAAATCCGTATGTAATCCAATCCTATAGGTACCTGACAATCGCGAATTAGGCGAGTGGTGTGGTTTATGTAAAATTGACAGAGAGGGTAAAGCTCGAAAGGTGGTCAAGTGCAGCAGTGTTGCTGTTAAGGTATTAGCTCAGTAATATTGTGATTGTTAATTAATCATATCTTATTAGGGATTTCTAGATACTGCTTGAATAGAATTACGATAAATAATTTACTTGTGACAGTGTATGCTATATTAGTTCATAGTACAGTGCAGTACTGTTGGAAGTAAACCATATTCTCGATATGATATGTAGTTGATCCTATGAAGATATAGCTGCTCCCTCTTCTGATTTAACATATTGATGAATGGCAGACTTCCGGAATCAATTTTGTCGCGGCTGAGGATATAAATTACCTTTACTTATGCTATGTATTGTTAATCATATCGACTGAGGCTTTTATACTGTCAATAACTATTAAAATAGTAACATATACACTATCACTACTGTATGTAGTTTCTTGAGGCAAATCTGCTAGTACCCTTAATAATGACTTCATTTTACATACTATAATCCATCTTATAAAGTCTCTTCTTTCACGACCTATAGTTTAGACACATTACTTCAAGGTTATTGTATGTTCCTGGCTTAATCATGGCTTGTTTATACGTTTTGTTATTATAGGAAGTCGCCAAGGATTCTGGTGCTTGGGATGTATTACAAGAATACTTCAAAGCTCAAAGTTCTGATTAAGCTACTTCATCTGGAAGATATATGCCATTGTAATTTAGCCAGCAATTATAAGTTTTACATCTGTACTTTTGTAATAGAAAGCTGACAAAATTTGAGCAATAAAAAAACTCTTCAAGCATACATACTTTTCGTGTCGTAGTTGTCTCTTAGAGTGCTGTACCAGGCTGTACACTATGCATAGGAGTATACAAGTCGACTGGATCACAATTTTTGTTCGTTAGGGAGTATCTATTTACTTTGATATGATGGTATTCTTTTAATACATCCACATAAAAAAGATGAAAAATAACCTTGACTTTATTTTGATATCCTCGTCGTGTGCTAGAGAAAATAAATTTAGAATTGATGATAGCTTTCACACCAATCATCCATGCATCTTGTAAATCTGATAGAGGAATGATAGGTGCATATAGCATAGCTACTCTTAAATATTTTATTGGTCTGACTAGTTTAACCATGGCTAGGTAATACTCTATATAGGCACACGTGTAAGTCAAGGCTGCATTAGATTTCAATGTTATTAGATACAAAGCAGTAGTAAAATATCACAAGTAGCTTTAGCATCATTTTGAAATTCACCCAAGTCTTAAGACAAAGTTTAAATTTGTGATCTAGTGTTAAAATAAGCATGTGGTCAATTTCGTTCCGTTTATGATTCACGTCAATTATACGTAAAGACATTTTAATTCAAAAAAATTGCTAAGAAACTGATTCTATAAATATAAGCAATATATGTATAAATAAAACTTTCTGCAATTTAGTGAAATGTATCGCAATATCCATTTGAGCAGATGCATAAAGTAGTTATTTGTCCATATGTCAACATGCAAAGGAGTCAAATGTAATAAACATCAAAAGGATTGTCGAATATAACTGACTGTATATACATTATTTACAACATGCAATGTTTTAAATCAACATTACACGAAAACATCCAATTATTCTTTTGAATAATATTTAATAGTTCTGTCATAGGATGGCTTAGTTGTAAGGTAGTCCAAGACCCAATAAGAATCAATTTCTTTTTAGAACGAGTTATAGCAACATTAATTCGATGTTTGTCTAGTAATAATTGACCAATCTATAACAATTGAGAGGAATCAATCGATTTAGTAAAATATATGCACTGCATACTTTATAAGCTAAATCTATTACTAAGTCACTGCACATACAGCCATCTATGGCTACTTTGAATATTAGCATACTTGCATTGTTTATATGAAAAGTAAGATTATTCTCTTAAAGTTTATCAGATACCGCAATTAGTTCGACTCAGTATCCTCACTGCTTACTTTTTTTTCCATATTTTTCCTGACTAACGATATAATGATACAATCTTTATCACGCCCTTGGTATCGATCAATCGTATGGACTTCAACTGAATCGGATGCTTCAATATTATGTTTCATCTTTTCTCGAATAACGTGCAATTGATATTTATATGGGGACAAAACTCCAATCTCGGATGGATTTGCACCAGCCTAAGATTTTTAAGCATAGCATAATATTAGTTAATTTCGGAAACTTAATGACTTCTTAATAATGCATTATGGTGACTAAGGAATATTGAGCTATAATGGTTGAATAAAAGATTTTGCTCAAAGTGTTGGCAATGTTGAGAAGTCGTAACATGCAAATCAAATCGGTTATTAGCTATTGTCTTCATTAGTTTTAACAATAACGAATTAATATACAGTCAGCAGGACAAACTCATAACGATATTATTTAAGAATAGTACCTCAATAAGATATCGAACTATGGAGGCGGTAAGGACTGCTTCAAACTCGTTATATATAGAGCTACCATTGCAGACGTCCCCTTCAGAAGTCTTACATCCAAAAATGAGGAGATGGATAAGAGAAAAAGTATAAAATATTTAATTTTATTAAACTTAGTGACTATTACTATTTAGAACTAGAATGAATAATTGCAATATTTACATTATCCGTGTTAATAAATACAACAGGCATGCTTGGGTTTACAGCCTGTAATAGCCATAACATCTCTGAATTCTTCTTTAAGATCTAAGATTTTTGAATATACGCTTTTCAATTTCAACCTTTAGCTATAATTTTACATTAATAATTACCTTTTCTACGGATGACCAGTTCTTCAGCTCGAGTGTTTCATTTTCAACTGCCTGAGTTGCACATTGCAATCGATTGTTATATACTAACGAATTGGATAGAGCCATAATATCCCTATAATTAGAAAAAATTACAAGAGTATATATAAGGCACTACAGTCACATATAGAAAATTTTTATAGGAATATAACTACCAACCTATGCATACGATATTGTAATCGTAATTCAGCAACGGATTCATTAGTAGCCTGGCAAAGTCGTTGAAATAGGCTGACGTTCATCCCACCATCCCTAGATTTAAACATAATGGAATATAGCATTCTACTTTTGGGCAAATTTTTACAAAATTTCGTCTATTCTTCACCTAGCATCCAGACTTTGTACTAATGGGGGCAATTGATGATGATCACCAACTAATACAAAAATATCGGCGAATCTTAAGGGACCGATACAAACAGGTTGCGTAACTTGTGAAGCTTCATCAAGGATACAATAATCGAAGCGTCTCTGAGAGAATATTGCGTGATTGATTCCTAAACAAGTCGTAGCAACTACGGCCTTGCATTAACAATATGTGACAGTATTGTTTGTTATATATTCGGATATTGTGAAATTAACAGCCTACAGTACATACTCAGCAAAATATTGAAACATTGATTTTTAAATTCAATTATACCATATGGGATAGTTTAACCGGCTTACCTTCGAAGAGTAGAAATCGCCAAGTTCCTTTGTATTCCTACATTGTTGAGAACAATTTTGGGCACAGAAAGGCAGGACATTTGGATGTATACTTTGAGGACGGCCAAGGCGAATAAAGTCGACACCAAACTACAACATTAAAAAATAGCTGTCAATGATATCGGAACAGTCCTTACTAAATTGTTTTGCAAAGGTAAACTTAATTGCAAATAGTTTGCGTGCATTACATACTTTAGCGAGCTTTAGTAAGACATTGTCGACGGCGGTATGAGTGTAGGCAGTTAGCAAGACAGATTTTCCCATAGTACTTAAAATCCAAATGAGATGAGCAATTGTTGTCGTTTTACCTACGTTGGTGATGGTGAAATTCATATTTCAGCGATACATCAACGTTCACTACAATCATAAATTATGCTCTAATAAATCAGTTACTGATACCGGTTCCTGGCATCCCAAGAATAAGTGAGTAGTCGCGAGCTCGTAGACTCTACGCATAGAAAATAGTTATTCGTTAATTTAATTTAGCTAGTAATAAATCTATTGATTTAGTAATGAAATGTTATTTGAAACAAATTCTAATCCGATAATTAAAACTTGCCTTATAAATGGCACACTTTTGGTCATTGTTTAGATTACACATTTGTTCTTTCAATGTATCATCGTCTAAAATTAAATTATATTCGTAGGTCAATAGCTACTACATTCTATGCTAAATGATATAATTTAGCGATATGGAGATATGGGACAGAATAAACCTTCTAAAGCTTCTAAATTATCGAATGTCGGTGGATCCAAGTTGACAATCAGGCGACGTAGTTTCGAATCGCTTGTTTTATTAATAATAAACAAACATAATTATCTTTAGTACATATGTCGATTTTTGTTACCTTTATAAACATTAAATTTTTTTTACCTTTCACTAACTGAGCAGAATTCAGATAAATTAGCCCAAAGCTGCGACGTAGTATTCCAATCAGCACCTGTATCAATCCTATACAAAATCTTCTGGGACCGCATTTTTAACGTATAGCATATACTCACATTAGTGATAACATCCTAATCCTCTGTTTCGACAATTATGCAATATTTATAAATTTGATTTATACGTTTATAGGTCATCACCTTTTGAAATTGTTGCTGATTTCCAACGTTTTTTTCGTACAATACAAAGTCCCTAATTTTAATAAGTTTCTCGTTACGATAAATCGAGATACTAGACACATATGATTGATAGATAATATACGCATGATAGAACTTATATTACCTGTCTGTAATAACACTAATAGAAGAGCTACCGATTTCAGTAACGGTTCCAGTAGCAATGTTAACAGCACTGCCATCGTCTCTACTTATAATGACTCGTTCACTAACAGTAATGGCTAATTTTGAATTGTCGATAGGGCTGTTAAGAATATACAAGCATGCTATTACTATAGAACAACTTACTGATTAGATTTATAATCATAAAGTGTCCTGAATTAAGAACAAGAGCATACCATTCTGATCTTTCAAAACTGATGCTCCATAAATGTCCATATTCGTTATTACTTAGATTGCTACAATTCATTAGTTTCAGATTCGCGATGCAGAAACCCTCTTTTTCCCTAATCATCGATTACAAGGGTAGTATTAGAAGGTTAGATCGTTAACAGATAGCTAAATATCCTCTATCTATAATCAAGTTTTGTTCTCGCACTGAACCTTTGTGTACTACGAGTAGTCCATACATCCGCTTGACAAGATTTATTCAGGCTATCGGCATATTCTAAAGCTATTAAATTAAACCATTTGGAGAAATATTCTAAATCGAGTTCAGAAAGATGTTGCAGCTGGTTGTCATAAAGCTCTTGTAACGACTCTGAACTAAGATTGGTTTTTTCATACGATCTACAATAGATTAGTACAATAGTCGAATTAATACAGCTGAATAATAACGCAGTAAATGGTCTGCATATTTAAGAGCGATTATACCTGTGATACAGAGTACATTCTTTCAATCGCGAGCATCTTTTACAGGCATGGTAATCATTGATAACTTCTGGCAAACTCGGCTTCTTATTTGAATCCAATAGATGAGTGTAGTAGTTTGCCAACTGATTTCTCATCATTATCAGTGCTGTACACATAGTATATCGAATTAAAACACAATATCAACCAGTTTACGAAGGATAAAATTTGTTGCTGATTAATACTAGTGGGATAACATATCGCTAAAGAGCAGATAACCTCGCTTTTCTCTAGGTTTTGCTGGTACGCCAACTGTATCTCCAGATTTGGAGTAATAAAGAAGACCATAAGGGATGACGCGAGATAGACGATCAGACAGCA